ACAATATTACAACTAAAAAAATGGGGAATATTATATAATCCATATTTGTTTCTCATTAGCAAAGAAAAGTTTCCTTCAAGTTCCATTTACTAGGAAACCTCAAATGATCACTAAATAACTTTTTAAAGCAGCATAAAATGTATACCATTTCTAATACAGTTTTATGTATAACTCTAAGAATGTTTTTAAAGACTTACTACTGTTAAATGTTTAGTGAAGGACCAGATACATGTAGTAGAAATGATCATGTAAATCCATTATGAATAATTAATGCTAACATGATATAGTTAAAAGCAAAAGTATGACAAAAATATTGCCCAAAAGTTGACATCTTTGAAACAGTAAAACTCAGCTACTTTTAGCACTCGGATTTTGATCAAGGATGCCACCTTTATTCCCAGTCCTTATTTTATTTCCTGGCATTTCCTTACTGCTCATTAAAAGCCTGTTGGTTAAAAACGGGGAAGAATGACATAACCGAGAAAGAGTTTGTTTCTCACAAGGAGTGGATCACCACCAGGTAAATACTACTTCCAGAAAATACGAGGTCTCCTTGAAGAGAAGTTCAATGGCCCTCTTTCCCACTAGAATGCAAAGGGCATATAATTTAAAGGCTGTGGAATAAAAATAACTGTTATTGGACATCATCAGGACAAATGAGCTATAGATAGCCACCGAGAAGGTAAATATGACAACAGACATAAACAGTCAAAGAAAAGACCCACAGAAAAGAAAAATCCAGCAGACTAGACTAAATGCTCAAGAACAAATGGTTGAAGTAGAAAACAAAACTCTCAAGAAATCAAAATCAAGAAAACAAAAAAGAAGAGTTAAAAACAAAAGACATAAAGGCAGAACTTAACAACTGATGTACGCACCCCTAGCAGACAGCCCTACCAGCCACACGTATCATAATTTAGTTCATCAGTGGTGAAGATGCACTTCATACCAGTGTTTAATCATGTTTCATATACCTTCTCAAAAAATGCAGCTAGTTTTTATAGTGCAAAAACAAGGTTATCAAAAACATCAATTTAAAACAGATAAAAATCTCCAAATAAACAACCATAAAGAAGAAAAAACATCTGAATTTTAACTAAGAGATGGAAAATACAAGTGAATTTATGACATACTGAGATTTATTTAGAAATTCCAACCACTATTTTAAGATTTCTAAAAAAGAGTAAATAGAAGAAAACAATCTAAGCATTAAAGACCATTTTTAGCAGGTAAAGAAAGAAACTACTCTTCAGATTCAAAGAGCCAATGAGAATCCATTTTGAAAATCCAACTCAATTACTGGAAAATTGAATTAAAATGAGTTACAGAATTTGGAATGCCAAGGATAAAGAGGAAAAAAAACTTAAAATCTTTTACTTCTTAAAGAATTTTTTTAAGAAGATGCCCCACAGAGGAATGAAAATCAAATTCACATGAGAATTCTCACTCACAACACCAAACACTACAGGGTCTGAGGAAAGAATAACTTAGAACTCCCACATCCAGCCACTTTATCAATTACGTGAACATAAAACCGTACACTTTAGACATACAAAAACTCAAAAAGTTTACTATCCACTGATTTATTTGAAAGAATTACTGAAGACTATTCTCCAAAAGGTGAATAAATGAGATGGAAGATACGGAATACAATAAAGATTTGTGAGTAGTGAAGACAACTTAGATTTAACTCTAAACAATTTTTAGAAAGTTCTTAAGCAAATCTTGGGGCACCTGGGTGGCTCAGTCATTGAGCATCTGCCTTCGGCTTAGGTCATGATCCCAGGGTCCTGGGATCGAGCCCCACATCGGGCTCCCTGCTCAGCAGGAAGCCTGCTTCTCCCTCTCCCATTCCCCCTGCTTGTGTTCCTGCTCTCGCTGTGTCTCTAGCAAATAAATAAATAAAATATTTAAAAGAAAAAAAGAAGAAGTTCTTAAGCATCTAAGAGCTTGGAGACTTTACAAGCTTCTTTTTCCCTACCTTTTACCCTTTTATCCTATAACACACACAGAGAAGTCCATAAAGAAAAATGTGAGATTAATAAATTATTGTCCAGAAATGCTCTGTGCCTGCACCCAGCCTGTAGGTGGAACACTGCCCCCCTTGTACCCCTCTCCTACTCAGCACACCAATCTTCTCCCAGCAGTACCCACTATCTGTCATTTACATTAATTTTTGCCTTACTCTACAGTTTTACCTAAATATTCATTCCTAAACAAGAGAGCTTAGTTTTGCCTATTTTTGAACTTTACCTAAATGGAGTCACACAGTATGTAATCTTTTGTGTCTGGTTTCTTTCACCAAACATTAATGATTGTGGAAAGACAAACATGATTATGAAGGCAGGAGAGCCTGAGTACTGTCTCTCAGCTCCCCGCAAGTCTCCAGCACTGGTATGCAGCTCCTCTGGGCAGCTGACTCCTAATAAGATGTTTTCTGTGGGAGTAAGACCATTTTATGTCAGCAACAACCCCAGTGCCATGCACTGAATGAGGTCCATCCCCATTCCCTATCAAAATTCCTAAAAAAGGGTAGCAACAAGGAACTCAATGCCTAATATACCCAGCCATGCCCATCCCAGGAACACCTCTCCACTTGATGCCAAGAGCCTGGGGAAACAAATATATCCAACAGCCACAACCTAGAAGTTCTACCCTACATTGTGGCACTTACTGTTTTGTCTCAGCTCTTCATGCAACAGTGGTGCCGGAGCAAATACAGGTTTGGCTGGGTTGGTAGACTATTGGGCTATCTTTGGGAGTGATGTAAGCTCTGGAAAGGCCAGTGAGTCTCCACCTGCACTGTCTTAAGCAGCTGGCTACCTCTAAATGAGGAGATCACTCATCCGAGCAAGAAGAGCTTATAACTGGGTGGCCATGTTGTCTGTGGGCCACAAGATCCCAGGGGCAAGCCTCAAAATAGTAGGTTCACCACCAAAAGGTATCTCAGACTTAGGAAGCTCCTCTTAAAAGAAGCAGCTCTTCCTTCCTCTTAGAGTAGAAACAAGAGAGCTCAGAGGAAGGACGGAAGGAAGAATGGATGGGCAGACAATGCATGTTGCTGCTAGGATACTTATCCATACATCATCATAGTCATGTTGTCAGTGGCTGCTCCTAGGGAAGGAATGTAAGGAAGCCAACAGGCTGAAAGAAAGTCCAGAAGGAACTTTAAAAAGTTGCAGAAACAAGCTGCGTTATGGCCCAAACTCCCAGGAAACCTGCAAGTGCCTGCTTGCAGGACGGAAAGGAACAGGAGAAAGCCAGTGGACTGATGCAAAAATCTGAACTGGACCTACAAGAGTTGCAAAGATCAGGTGAGAGAAGGCATAATAGTGTATAACTTAGAGCAATTGTTAGGAGAAAACAACTAGACTTGGGATGACAAGATCCCCTGACGAGTATTCCCTTAGAAAGATTAAAACTGTCCCTTCCCTATCCCATTGAACACTCTTCAACTACAACACATTCCTGAGCTTAACCCAGACGGGACTTCAAGAGGCTGCTATTTTGTCTCCTTTCACTACACTGTCACCTCAGTCCCTCTGGGACCGGACCTGGCACCTGTTAATTGGATTTGCTCATTGCGAACCCAGCTTATTGCAGGTAAAAGTATTGGGAAGAAAAATAAAACTAAACAAACCTAAGGATTCCTGGTGCTTCTGTCATAGTGAGCTTCCTAGACATAAAGGCGTTGGGCAGTGGGGAACTGAAGAGGAACAAAATATTCCTCTCATTTCATCTGTGCCTGTTTGGAATTAGCAAGTGAATAGATGTTTTGCTTTGTATAAATAAAGGATTTCTGGATGAACATACACTTGAACTCCAACTTATCTAAGGTGATTCTGCAGCTAACTGTGGTTGTGGAATGGTGACCCCGGGCACATGCAGAGTATACTCCCCATATGTCCCAAAAAGGACGTAAAGTCTGGTAGCTCTATTTTCAACTTAAAAAGAAAAGAAAAGAAAAGAAAAGGACGTAAAATCTGGATCAGTCACAGGAGGGAGAGGCCCCAATTAGTGTGGCATGAATGAATCAATTCAACACTGAAAAGCAGGTGGTGGGAGCAATGGAAGTAAATAATCGTTCCTACCTTCTTATTATAAATCTGAGCAGACCAATTACTTCATGTCCCTGTTGGAAAGGCATTTTTTGATGAGCCCCAGTGTCAAAGGGTAGATCGTGGAATGATAAACCATATTTTCTGCTAGCACAAAGCTAGCTGAGGCCAGCAGCTTCTACATTTTCCCAAGCAGAAAAACCCTGCATGTGGCTTCACGTTCCTACAAGGACACCAGGTGCCATCAGCAGTGTTATGCAATTCCCTTGGCAGGAGCGTCCTGATGAAATTTGCCTTTGCAAGAAAGTCCACTCTCATAACCACACGGTACCCAGTATCACACACTTAGCCAGGTGCATCTTCGTCCTCCAGTCCTTACAAAACACGAGACCAGCGAGGAGTAAGATCTTCTCCTGAAGTACAACCCACAGCAAGCCCAGTACCGCCCTGCTGACATGACTCTCCATGTGATTCCAAGACCGCATCCTGCCTTTGCAGTAGATACACCACCATGATGCGACTGATATTCTTGCCAAAAAATGCTTAATTTGAATCTAATCATGAGGAAAGAATTAGACCCAAATTGGGACACTTACAAAACAAATGGTGTTGATTCTTTAAAAATATCCGTTGTGTAAGACATGGAAACTGTGCTAGATTAAAGGACACTAAAGAAGCACAACAAAGCAATATGCGATCTTTGCAATAATAAGCACTTTCGTGAAGTGTTCAACTATCTGCAAAGTACACTCAGAGTCGGGGAGAGCAAAAACGTGGCAAAACGGTATAAATCTGGGGCTTATACCATTAAAAGGTTTTAAAACTAGCTGCAACACTTTTTCCCATCTTTTAAAAACATTTTCAAATGTTTCATTCCTCCTTCCATCACAGGAAATTGATTTATGTTGCCTTAAATGAAAAGGCACTCTAGAAAATACTTACGAGAGCAAGTGGCAGTTTGCCACTCCAGACACTGTCCATATGGGAAAGAGATTATGTACGCGTTCGAGTCAACGCATCGTCTCCTACTACTGCACCACATACACTCCATGCCATTGCTGGTACAGTTGGAGCAGGATGTCCGCAGTGAACAGGGCTTTTTGCATGGCCTTGCGTTTTGATTTGGACTAACTGGAATAAATCAACAAATATAATTATTTTATTTGTTAACTGTATTTTAACACAGATATACGGGTTTCATTTGTTTCGTGGTTTAGGGAATGTTTCAAATAAGCCAAGTGTGGGATAAAAATTATAGCAAAAACTACGTGATAAGGTAAACGAAAATGAAGATGAGATGTTAACACTTCTTAAATTTACTATTAAATTTGAAAATTATACTTCTTAGGAAAATTTTAATCCTTTACAAAGTACATAAAGTTACATAATTTAAAAACTTAGAAATGTAGCCCATGACCTAGTTTTCTATCTTTGGCTAAATATTACACAATCATTATTTACTTTCCCACTAAAATGTTTTCCATAAACATTCCATACCTTATCAAAACAAATGCCCTGTCAGTTAACATGTCTCTGATATAAACAAACAATAAAAATAAAACTATAACTATAAAATCTTTACATGAAATAGAATATCACACCCTTTAAATAAATATTTTTTTTTAAATGCTAGCAATGATGTGAACCTTTGTTCATTGCTGGTAGAAATGTAAAATGGTACAACCTCTATGGCAAACAGTATGGCAATTCCTCAAAAATTAAACATAGTATTACCATATGATACAGCAATTCCACTTCTGCCTATATACCCAGAAGATGTGAAACTGGAACTGGAAAAGATATTTGCAAACCCATGTTCATAACATCATTACTCACAACAGCCAATAAGTAAAAGCAACTCAGGTGTACATTGATGGATGAATGTATAAACAAAATGTTGGATGTACATACAATGGAAAATTATTCAGGCTAAAAATGGAAGAAAATTCTAACATATGCTACAATATGGATGAACCTTGAAGACATTATGTTAAGGGAAACAAGCCAGCCATAAAAGTTCATACACCTTATGATTCCATCTATATGAGGTAATTGGATTAGTCAAACTCATAGACACAGAAAGTAGAAGGTGGTTGTCAGGGATTGGGGGAGGGAGGTATGGAGAGTTATTGTTTAATGGGTATAGAGTTTGGGAAGATGAGAAAGTTCTGGAGATACATGGTGTTGATTAATGCACAATAATGTAGATGCACTTAATAACACTGAACTTCACATTTAAAAATGGTGAAAATGGTAAATTTTATATTATGTATATTTCACAAAAATAAAAATGTTTAAAAAGAGAAAATAATTCAATATTCCTTTATCACTTAAAAAAATCCATTTTAAGACAAATACCATATGATTTCACTCATATGTGGAATTTAAGAAACAAAACAAATGAGCAAAGGCAAAAGAGAGAGAGAGACAAATGAAAAACCAGACTTTCAACTATAGAGAACAAACTGATGGTGACCAGAGGGGAGGGGCTGGGGGGGATGGGTGAAATAGATGATGGGGATTAAGGAGTGCACTTGTTGTGATGAGCACCGGGTGTTGTATGGAAATGTTGAGACACTATCCTATACACCGGAAACTAATATTACACTGTACGTTCATTAACTGGAATTAAAATAAAAACTTAAAAAAACAATGTCCATGTCTAACATTTTATACGGGCTAATAAAACCAAATAAAAAAATTACAACATAATTAGTACAGGTTTTGGGTTTGAATATTATGGCCAATATAAAAAATAATAAAAGTCAATCACCACAAAATGACATATTAGGCAAAAAAAAGATATAACAGAATAGTTTCTTCTTACTTGCCAAATGAAATAGATCTATAAGATGAAAATGATTCTAAATTAGTTGTTAATCTTAAAAGCAAATCTTTCTTCCAAACACTATTATTATAAAAGTAAAAGATGTTAACAAAATTAAGAATAGATTCAACCAAGAAATAAAGATTGCATAAAATAATAAAATTTTGGTATTTTCACAAGTTAACCCTAAGGTCACTAATAGTAAGTGGGGAATGTGGATAAAGATAAAACTTACTAAAATTATCAGGGAATCAACATCATAAAAAGATGGTGAAACTTACCTCAGGCACACAGACTGTCACAAGCGAAGGGGGTGGTAAGAAGAGGAGTTGGAAACATAATATTTTTAAAGAAATACTAGTTTACTACTTACCAACAGGTTTTTCACAGACAAGGCCATCTGCCATAGATGTACAAGGATTAGCTTTTAGGCCTGCCACTGCAGCCTTTTCCAGATATGCACAGAACCCAGAATCATTCGGTTCACCAGGAAGCCACTGCAGTGTTGTGTTTGTAAAAGGAGACATGTCTTCCCATCCCCAGTAGGATATATTGATCTTGCGCAAGCCTACCCACGGTGATACTTTCTGTAAACAATAGCAAACGGAGCATTAAAAAAAGTTAGATATAAAAAGTCATATTCCTTAGCAAATAGCTCATTATCATTAAAAATTACATTTAAAGATATATAGAATTGCCTTTCTAATGACTTCCTGTACTAAGGATAATTAACATTTCCAGTACATTTTGGAGAATGATGTAGAAAAGAACACTATTTTTCAAACATAGATTTTTGCACTCATCCTACATAATTGGGGTCAGTTATTTAGCCCTTGTGAACCTCAGTTTCCTCTTCTACAAAATGAAGTTATAAATATCCAGAGCTTATTTATCCTGTATAACTGAAACTTTGTACCTTTTGACCTATATCCTTACATTTCCCTCATCCCCTGCACCCGGCAACCACCATTCTACTTTCCGCTTTTATGAGTTTGACTTTTTTAGATTTCACATATAAGTACAATCGTCAGTATTTGTCTTTCTGTATCTGGCTTATTTCACCTAGCATAATGTCCTCCAGGTTTATACATGTTGTTGCAAATGGCAAGATTTTCCACTTTTGTAAGGCTACGTAATATGCCATTATCTATCTATCTATCTCACATATATATCACACATACATATATATAATATCACATATCACATTTCATTTTCTTTATCCATCTGCCCATCGATGAACACAGGCTGTTTCCATACTTTGGCTATTGTGAATAATGCTGCAATGAATATGGGAGTGCAGATATCTCATTGATACCCTGTTTACATTCCCTTTGGATATATACCCAGACATGGGATTGCTGGATCACTTGGTAGTTCTACTTTTAATTTTTTGAGGAACCCCCATACTGTTTTTCAAATTGACTATACCAATTTGCATTCCCACCAACAGTGTACAAGGGTTCCTTTTTCTCCACATCTTTGCCAACTTACCTATTTTCTTTTTGTTAACAGCCATTCTAACAGGTGTGAGATGATGTGTCACTTTGATTTTGATTTGTATTTCCCTGATGATTAGTGATGTCCAGCTTTTTACCATATGCCTGTTGGCGATCTATATATTCTCTGTGGAAAAATGTCTATTCGTATCCTTTGCCCATTTCTTCAGTGGGTTTTCTTTGCTATTGAGTTATTTGAGTTCTTATATATTTTGGACATTAACTCATTACCAGACGTATGGTTTATAAACATTTCCTCCCACTCCACAGGTTGTCTCTTTACTGTGCTGATTGCCTTCTTTGCTGTGCAGAAGCTTATTAGCTTGATGCAATGCCATTTGTCTATTTTTGCTCCTTGCCTGTACTCTCAGGGTCATTTCCAAAAAATCATTGCCCTGACCACTGTCAAGAAGCCTTTTCTCCATGTTTTCTTCTAGAATTTTTACCGTTTCAGTTCTTCCACTTGTGTCTTTAATCCATTTTCAGATTTTATATATGGTATGAGATAAGGGTCTACTTTCATTCTTCTGCATGAAGATATCCAGTTTTCCCAGCACCATTTACGGAAGAGACTGTCCTTTCCCCATTGTGTGTTCTTGGCACCTCTGTTGATGATCAATTGACCATAAAAGCATGGATTTGTTTCTGGGCTCTCTGTTATAATGTATAATCTTGGTGAAGGTCTCTTGATGTTTTTAATCTATTTGGGGTCTCATGGATCTGGATGTTCATTTGAGAAGTTTCAGATTTGAGAAGTTTCCTGATATTATTTCTTTAAAGAGCTTTCTACCCCTTTTTGCTTTCTCTATGCCTCCTGGCAGTCCCATAATCCAGGTATGGATGCATCTGATGGTCTATCATAAGTCCCATAGACTTTCTTCACTTTTTTTTCATTCTTTTTTTCTTTTTCCACTTCTGACTGGATAATTTCAAATGACTTGTCTTTGAGCTCATTGATTCTTTTCTTCTGCTTGACAATGTCTGCTATTGAAGTGCCGTATGAATTTTTTTAGTTCAGTCACAGTGCTCTTTAGCTCTATAATTCTGTTTGGTTCTTTTTTATGATTTCTATGTCTTTGTTAAATTTCTCATTTTGTTCACGTATTATTTTCCTAATATAATTTAGTTGTCTATCTATATCTCTTTTAGCTCACTAAGCTTCTTTTAGATGATTATTTTGAATTGTCAGACAGTTTTTAGTTTTCCATTATTTAGGGTCAGTTACTGATATTTTACCCTGTTGCTCTGGTAGTGTCATATTTCCCTGATTTTTTGTGATCCCTGTGGCTTTGTATTGGTGTCTCATTTGAAAAAGTAACTACTTCTTTCAATCTTTATAGATGGACTTCAGTAAGGAAACTCTTCATCATTCAGCTTATCCAGAAATTCTAGAGGGCTATGTAGTAGAATCCACAGGCGGGTTTACTGCTGGAGTACTCAGCTAGGCTAGCCTGGTGGCTAGGTCAGTGGGTGATCAGGTCTAGAGTCTGGGTCCACAGGGACCTGCCTGGTACCTGGATTCACAGGGACAAGCCTGGAGCTTAGGACCATTGCAGTAGGTCTGGAGATTGTGTCCACATGAGCAGGCCAACTGCCTGGATTTGTGGGAGTGGGTCCAGAATCTGTTTATGTAGGTACAGACCTGGATCCTGGGTGCACAGGGGCCACCTGGTACAAGGGTCCATTGAAGTAGGCATGGTAACTAGGTCCATGAGGCCAAGCCTAGAACCTGCGTCCATGGTGGCAGGCCTGCAGCTGGGTCCACAAGGGCCAATATGGAGCCTGAATTTCTTGGGACAGACTGAAGGAAACATGGAGGTTAACCTGGCACTGGGATAATTTTCGATCCTGAATCCATGGATGCCAGCTTAGTGCTGGGGTGAGCCTGGCACCTGGACTCATGGGTATGGACCTGGTCCAGAGTCTGTGGGGGCTAGCCTGGTGCCAGGGTCTCTAGGGTAGGCCTGGTGACCAGATCCATGGAGGCAGGCCTGGTTCTGAGTCCATGAAGGATGGGCCTGGTACCTGGGAGCACGGGGGTAAGCCTGAAGGTTGGGTATGCAGGGAAGGGCCTGAAGCTTGAATTTCCAGGGGTGAGCCTGGTCTTGGGTCCACAGGAACCAGTACTAGAGTATACTGGGAAGGTCATGGACCTTAGGTCTCCTGGAACCTAGGGCCACAGGAGGCCAGCCTAGAGTGTGAGGCCATGTCATCAGTCTGGAGCATGCCTGGTGTCTGGGTCAGCAGGAACCAATTGGGCACCGGGGTTCACTAGAGAAGCCCTGGAGCTGGGGTCAACAGCAAAGTCAGGTGCTCATTTCACTCTCCTTCCCCTTTGCAGAGATATCTCTCACCATGCTTCACTGCCCTGCATGGGCTTGAGCGAGGGATGATGCAGGTAATGTAAAACTGTCCTTTCTTATTTTTGCACTTCTCCCAAGTGCTATAATCTCTTACATAGATTACCTAGCTCTTGCAAAGATATTTTTGTATATGAATGGTTGTTCAAACCGATGTTTCCGTGAGGGAACAAGAGCTGGAAATTTCCATCCTGTCATCTTGCTGACATGATTCTTAAACACTTCTGCCTTAATATACATAATATATTTATTTTCTAAGTTACTAAGTTAATAATATTATAACGCGAGGTGATTTCAAAACTCCACATCACCTTTTTTACATTGTGGACTATCAGGAGAGAGAAAAATATGTCTCTCTATTTGAGTGTTTAACATACAGATATAAGATAGATATATCCAGTGTTTATTCTAAGTATGTTATACAAATAGTCCTACCGAGCTTCTAAAGATAGCTATAGACCTAGAAATTTGCAAGGTGTAAAACTACAATAAATTTCATAGTAAACATTCAACAAATATTTCTTAAATACAATTAAAATACCCTATGAATATTCATTATGACAGATCTCATATCACTTAGTAAAATACTGTACAGATAGTAGGTAGTCAATAAATTTTGTGAACCAAAGTTCATTAGAACAGATATGGTTATTTTGCACCATCCAATTCCTGAGACAGAGATAGTACTTAATAAATGTTTCTAATTATAAAAATACACATGCTGGGCGCGTGGGTGGCTCAGTCGGTTAAGCGACTGCCTTCAGCTCAGGTCATGATCCCAGGGTCCTGGGATCGAGTCCCGCATCGGGCTCCCGGCTCAGCAGGAAGCCTGCTTCTCCCTCTCCCTCTGCCCCTGCTTGTGTTCCTGCTCTCGCTGTCTCTGTCTCTGTCAAATAAATAAATAAAATCTTTAAAAAAAAAATAAAATAAAAAAATAAAAATAAATAAATAAATAAATAAATAAAAATACACATGCTGCTTTGTCTTGCAATCACCATATATTTCATACATTATTCTGAAAGATATTTTGAAAACAAAAAATTATAACATTTTTATAGTTCTTGATAATAACAGCAGGAGTCAATCCAACATAGATATTCCAGATCAATGACTGCTTCACATTACAGTGACTCTGCCTACATTTCCGACTATCTATAGCAAAGACAAGTCATTTAAAATGAAATATTACTCCCTAACTCATCATGATAAGGATCTGAGAGGAAGAGGAGAGAAACAGAAAAATGAAGCCATTGATAAAACATTTAAAGTAACTATTACCCAGTAAATGAACTGGACAGGCAGTTGAAAATCAAAGACAAATTACTGTATTATGAAAATTTACTGCAGGACACCATAAATCATTACAACATTTCATTAGCCATTTCCGATAAGTAAATGATTATTTGACCCAGGATATCTCTTTAAATTGCCTGAATTTGCCTGTCTTTATTTGCCAAGGAAGGGTTATCTTAAGTGTATACAACTGGAATGACTTGGGATATAATTCATTTTACATAAAGGTATGCTTAATGGAATGTCACCTTGCAGAAGCTCCTACCTTTGAAATTTTGCTAAAGCTCAGCTTTCTAATGAAATAAAACATTTTTCTTTCCTAGGACATGCTAGTCCACCAACTCTCAAATCTAATTTCCTCACACATCCAAAATAACTGTTAGTCCAATCTTTATGATCTATAATAACAAGCAAGAAAAAATGAGGAACACAAGAAACCTTGAAATACACAACTTCTAAAATAGCACATTTCAAGATTATAGTGTAAAAACTAAAAATACTATATTTTGAACAAGGAAAAAAGCAAGAGAGCTGTAATGCCAAATACTAGTACTTCCTAAAGCTCAAAGTGTGTGGACCTACCAATAATAATACTTCATAAGTGATACATATTCAACAGAACTAATCTTTAAATGCTCATTGGTAACTGTTTCCCAATTTTATAAATGAAGAAATGAAGCCCCTGGCATCACAAGAATATAAGATTAATTTATGTTTTATAATAACCATGTAATTAAAAATAAAACTTTACAAATATATCTTCTCACATTTTTCTAAAATATTTTTGAAAAAATCAATTGGTGTCTCTCCTACATGAAATGACATACATCTTGCCTTCCAGCCATCAGGCTAGTAGCTGTCAAACAAGACAAAGAAAAAAAACCATAGATGCTTCTATTGCCTCCCTGCAAATATCTTCATGTGCCGGCCAACTCAAAGTCCTACAAAAGTTAGCTAGGTGAGGGTTCTAGAGGGGAGAGGGGTGGGGGGGATGGGTTAGCCTGGTGATGGGTATTAAAGAGGGCACATACTGAATGGAGCACTGGGTGTTATATGCAAACAATGAATCATGGAACACTTCATCTAAAACTAATGATGTAATGTATGGTGATTAACATAACATAATTAAAAAAATTTTAAAAAAGAACTAGTTTAATTAAGAAAAAAAAACAATTTTCAAAAGGGAGTGTGCATAAGTCCCCCTAATTTTTTTAACATTTATAAAAACTGTTCTTATATCACTTTTTAAACACCAGATGCATATTCCTCTGTTAGTAATAAAAGTAAAATCAGTATCCTATTCTTCATCAAAAATCAGGAATGATCTTAAGAGATAAAAGGTTCTAGTACAACTACCCGGGGCAGTCAGCGGAGGGCAGGAGGAGGGGAGCAGCAGGGAGGATTTCTCATTCACCATGGAAAAATTAAAATAGTAGTCTGGGGCAAATATTTTTCCACAATTAATATCAGTATTAACTATTCATCAAATAAATTCATCTAGTTACCTAAGAATTCTAAATAATGATTCCTGGAAATAGTAGTAATAGCAGCAGTAAGAAAACTGATACAAAAATGACAACCTTAAAATGTAAACAATAATAATTACTGTAAACACTCAAAAATAAAAATTATATTCTTTATATGCATTATCTTGTTTTTTCTCACAATAAACCTACAAGGTAGCTATGATTATTATCCCTGTTACAGATGAAGAATATAGAGCTGGAGAGATTAACTTGCTATTAAGTTTTAAAGATAAGTAGTATGCCCAATTGCATGCTCTCCATCACTTTGATGATACAGTCCTCATGCTTTAAAATCAGCTATACCAAGAAAACATTACTTAAGTATTTCTATAGCAAGTAATTGGTAATATTTTCTCTAAAATATTTTCAAGCCAAAATTGTCTCTTTTGAAGTGGAGTTTTGAAGTACCAATACACTATTTGTCCAAATAAAAATCATAACTGAAAGTCAAAATAAAGCCGCTGAGATCTGGCCTAATAGAGTTTTCAAAGTAACAGCTGAATTATAGATACACCTATATTATTTGTATAGAAATTATGCTACTTTGTGCATTATTGACCATAGGGTGTCTATGTGTGTGTTGTGTTTTTATCTTAAACATAAGGCCAAATCTAGTACAAACTACAGATTTGAGGCATTTATTATTGTTTAGTCTTATCACCTGATCTAATATGAGTTCTAATTTTATTTTTGAAACAAAATACAAAAATCTGCTATGATGCTACGACAGTTTATATTAGTACATTTCAAGTAAGTACATGAACTAAATAAAGTATTTCAAAACTAGGTTTAGTAAATTATTTTCAAACTTCCTTACATAATCTACTCTTAAGAGTTGACTGTATTTTAACAATTCAACAGTAGAAAATACTGTAAATTCCTTAGAAATGTCTTATAAAATAATATTTTGATAGCTTTCATTTTTTATTATGTTCAATTAGCCAACAGATAGTATATCATTATTTTTGATGTAGTGTTCAACAATTCATTAGTTGCCTGTAACCGCCAATGCTCATCACCACACATGCCCTCCTTAATATCTATCACCCAGTTTTCAAAGAAATATTCCATTTTTTTATGGAAATACTTTCCATAAAACCCCCTGAATAGTGAAACAGTTTCCAAGTGCTGTATGTTCCAATAGCTTCTACATACTTTAAAAATTGGTTTTATTTCTGCTAACCCTTAGTATATTATTTCAAGCAAATCTACACCTAAAAAAAGTAACATAATTCAAAAACCCAACTCACAACAGACACACACACTCACAAAAAACACATATATGCAAATGTAACCAATGTGTTGGTCTAGTGTTTTAATTATTTTTATTATTTATTTATTTGAGAGAGAGAAAGAGAGAACCTGAGTAGGGGGAGGAACAGAGGGAAAGGGAGAGAATCCCAAGCAGGCTCTGTCTTCAGCACAGAGACCAAGAGAGGCTTGATCCCAGGACCCATGAGATCATGACCTGAGCTGAAACCAAGAGTCAGACGCCCAACTGACTGAGCCAACCAGCTGTCCCTCTAGTGTTTTAATTATAAGGGACATCTCAAGTTACGAAGTCATTACACTTCAAAACAAATTCTTGGGACACCTGGGTGGCTGTTGTTAAACATCTGCCTTCGGCTCAGGTCATGATCCCAGAGTCCTGGGATCGAGTCCCGCATTGGGCTCCTTGCTCAGGGGCGAGCCTGCTTCTCCTCTGCCTGCTCTACCTGTCACTCTCCCTGCTCATGCTCTCTCTCTCTCTGACAAATAAATAAATAAAATCTTTAAAAAAAGCAAATTTTTAAATTTTATACACATGTATTTTAAGTGTATTTATTCATATGAAATGATTTCTTGGTAAGAAATATAGTGGTTCACTATGCAAAACACAAGATGAGTAATTTAGAAAATCTTATTCCCAAATACATATACAGATTAATTCGTGCCAATTGACTTTTGAAGTCAGTTCCACTTTACTTCCAAGATTTAGTAAAAATAATTTATTTAAAAACAAAAAGAATGAACCCTACTAATGATTATAGGACTTTCGGCATATTTCCATGATATAAACAAGTAGAGGTGTTACCTGTTGTGTATACTTCTGTATTTCATCCAGAACAAATTCTACTTCTTTTGAGGTTGTTAATGAAGCAAGATTTCCACTGAGATTATAGCAATAAAGTTTTGCATTGTCATAGCTTTCTCTACTGGAATTGATTCTAAGACAAGCATCACCAATATGATTCCATCCTTCTCCACAAAGATGAGCTAATAAAAAAAAATTATATCTTATTTTTAGATTACCAAAAGGCATGTGTATTTTTCAGTTATTTTAGAATTCTAAATACAATGTCTGTATTTGTTTAAATAACTTTCAATGATAAAAATTCTAAGGATATCAATACAATTTACTAAATAAAATTTATCTAATAGTTTGGTGAAGAATAAAAACAGAAGATCCTAATTTTTTCTTTAATTCTTAAGCATAATATAAGCTATGGCTATAAAATCTGTTAAAATGTATTGACTATCTGCTAGGTTTTCTAGTGTCTTGGCATATGGTATCTCAACTAATAAAATCAATACTATATTTATGTCTCCGGGTCCAATTTATATTATACAAGATCACTTAAAAGGAAAATAACCTGCACATAACCAAAGCAATTTCAAAGTTATTCCTCCTTTCCGTATCTAATTTCCATAGCCCAGGTGCACTATTTTGATATAAGCTGGGTTCTTTGATTCTTTAATTATTACTGTGGGGAGAGAAGTCTCATTTCTTTTATGTTTAATAAAGAAGCTATAATTTTTGCTTTCTAATGTTTATTTTTATACAGGTATTCAAGTCTTTCTAACATTTAAGCATACTATTCAATAACAGTGGTTTATCCTTAGAATACAAGTTGATCTTTAAAAAAGTGCCTATTTTCTAAAACACACATTTATAAATACATTATAAAGTTATGCTCTAGTATGTACTAGTTAATAAGGCAGTGCTTCATTAATACACTGTTCTATAAAGTCTAACTACATTTTAGTGTCCATACCCATTAAATGTATCGGTGCCTTTTGCCCCGACCTTTGGCTTTAGATGCAGTAGTGCAAAATTTCTGGAAATGTTCTAAAGCTGCAATTCTCAAACATTTTGGTCTTGAGATCTTTTTATTTCTTAAAAATTATTGAGGACCTCACAAATCTTTTCTTTATGCATTTTTTATCTATTGGCTTTGACCATATTAAAAATTAAAACTGACCATTTAAAAATATATTTATTTATTCACTTAAAATTATAATTTAAAAATTCATTACAAACACACTCTTCTAGCTTTTGGGGTGTCTTGCCCCTTTATGCTATATACAGGCCCAAATGAGACATGTCATCAAATTCTCTCCCTGAGAAAGAGAAGCTGACAATTCAAATCAGGCCACTGGCATCAAAAAATTAAGACAGACTGATGAATGAATAGGGGGATGGATAGATCAGGGATAAAGCAGAGCAAAATGTTCAGTGTAGAATCTGGGTGAGGGTATTGGGTGGGTGTCCTCTCTAGGATTCTTTCCAGTTTTCTGTACATTTGAAAATTTTCATAATAAAATGTTTGGGGGAAAACATTACAACTTAAAATTAAAAGCAGATTTTATTTTAAAAGAATTATAGTCTTCAAAACAGAAAAAAATAGTGAAAAGTGTAACATTATTTTGCATTTTTGCAACTCTCTTTAATGTTGGTTTAATATAAGACAACTGTAGTCTCATATATGTCTCCAATCTATTGGAATCATATATTATGTAGACTTTGGAAAACTCCATAGTAAACCCATGAGAGAATCAGAATTTAAAAAGCAAATAATATCTTAGTATTACTAGTTTTGACCTCATGGACCCTCTGAAAGAGTCCATGAGCATGGGACTCCTGTTCTTTAATAACTGCTGCCCTACTGAATTGGGTACTATGAATAGTACCTAGAACATAGTAATACCTCAATAAAGTATAATTATCATTTAATAAGATTGTTTAAAACAACTTTATGTTCTTTTTCAGGCTATCCCTATAGCAATCTTCCTTGTCTTCTGGAATCCAAAGTACCTAATCACTTTAAGGAAACAAGGCGAAAGTTTTGTTTAATTATGGCTTTTGTGACCTTACTGAATCAAGGAAGGATTTAGATTACTTTTGCCTGTCTCATTTTTTTATGAGACAAAAACACCTGGTTGACAAATCACACAAATGAAAACAAATGCATGGGTCTTTGGGGCTAAAGTATACCACTGACCCGAATGTTTTGATGGTTTAGGCTTTGTAATACTGACCATCAACTCAAGCTTCAGAGTTAAATGGGGAGCAGTAAATTTTTAAAATGAGTTTAGTGAGATAAATTCAAATTGCCAAGTTTATATGAGATCAATGAAAAGATGCAATTCACAAATGTTCATGGAAAAGCACAACTCTGGATAGACAGGGTCCTCCATCTGGAGCATTCACTTCCTCAAGACAAGCTGAGTGGAAAACAAACTACATATACCCAAATTGCTGCTTAGTAAATATGAACATAGAACAAGGGGAATTAGTTTATAATGTAATTTTTATTGTATTTACTGTATGGTATTTATTATTCTCCAAAATAGCCTGGCCAAGTGGAGCCCTCATACCAAACTAACATTCTTTCCTGGGCAATGAGTAGATGGGTACTACCAAACGTGACTTCACTTATTTTTCCAAACTTCCACTGGCAATCAAATTCCCTTCTTATTGTAGCAATCATCCTTTAAATATATATATTCCTTCAGTCAAAGCTTATTTTGGTCCAAGATTTTTTTAAAAACATTTATTTATTTGACAGAGAGAGTGTGTGTGTGTGTACATGGGGTAAGAGGGGTAGAGGGAGAGGGAGAGAGAGAATCCTAAGCAGGCTCCATGCCCAGAGCTGAGCCTACATGGGGCTCTATCTCACGACCCTGAGATCATGACACTTAACCGACTGCACCACCAGGGGCCCTTTGGTCCAAAATTTTTAAAACAACTTTGTATTTTTACTGATCTACATGTTGATTTTAGAATTTAACATTTAGATATCAATATTACTTTCAAGTTTAGTGTCATCTCACTATTGCTTCTCAAAATCTAGAACTGCATTAATATTCTCTAATTTTTTCAAAGTTAACACACATGCACAGATCACTGTTTAAAATTTTTAAAGGTCAGTATATAAACAAAACCCAAAATTTAAATATTCTAAAATCTGAATGGTATTTTAAGGGCATTCTAATTTTTATTTTATTACATGAACTTCTAAGCATGACATAAATCCTTTGATGGGATTTCCAAGGACTTTTTAGAATTACACAGGCACAGAAACTTTTCTTTGAAAAAATGTAACAAAACAAACAAAACCACTGGATAGACAAAGGCAAAAACTGAACACCCAGTTAGTAGTTACATCTGCCATTTTACAAGCCATGCAGCTTTGAGCAAGTTGCTTTACCAGTGTATGACTCAGTTTACCTGTATGACAAGAAGATGGAACTGGTTAAATACCTACATTATTCTTCTATTTTCTGATTTTACCTTTTATATTTAAAAGGAAGAGTACTTAGAGTCTACTAAGAAGAGTATTATATGTAAAAAATAAATTGAAATTGCTTTTCAAAATGGGCTTTTCTCTGGTTTACATAACTTAGATTCTCATTAAATCATATAAAACTTATTACAAAGATTGTAATTTATAATAAAAAAGTAGTCAGTAAAAAATAGTTCCCAGAATTTCAAAGATAAAGGGCACTTAAAAACAAAACAAATAGGTTGAAATGTTAACATTCATTAAATCTGGATATTAGTCTGAGTGCTTATTATTTTCTGTTTTTAAGATATAATCACTAGTATAATAAATACAAGAAATCCTGAACATCTTAAAAGAATTGGAAGCAAACATACAAATTTTCTTATAGAAACAATGCTATTATTACTCCAATATTATTGTTTATTTGCTACTGATTTAATTTTATAAACTGGAATGTTCTTACTAAATGCTCTTTACTATAACGGTATTCATCTGTGGACTATAAAATTCATTTACCAAATTGAAATCTTTACCTGGTAAAGCCTGGCATTCTTGTTGTCGCTGATCCCACTGGCAATTCAAGTTTAGTGAACAGCTTTTACAGCTGGTAAGTTTGTTACAAATCTGCTCATTTCTCACATGACATTTGGTGTAGTTTTTCACAGACTAGAAAGTTAAAAGATAAAGCATGTTATTTTTTACCTTTGTATAGCAATAATTCTTAAACTACATTGTATATATAAATCACCAGATGAATTTTAAAGTTCAGATTTCTAACCCCAAATCCAGTTCTACTGAATCAGAATCTCTTTTACTCATTTCTTTAAACTGTAGTTGTTGGAACTACAATATGTGTTTATTGGAAAGAATGTACAAATTCGGCAATTTGAAACAGAAACCATCTAATGAAGATCTTTTCTATTGAATCTGATAATAGGCTTCCAACTCAACAAATAAAGCCAATGTAGAGTCATTTCTCTTCATGATCACATGAAAGAATTCTAGTCCTAATAAAACGATCTTGCAAACCCCTAGAAATGAAGTAGAAATGGTAAGTAGTAAAAAGTAAAGAGATACTTTATCAAAATCAAATACAATCTAAAAAGATAAATTATTTTCGTGATAACTCTAATTTTATTTCCACAGACACTAAATAATCATTTTGGTTAATTGACATTTCTCCTGTATTTGTCCCATTTCCTTTATGGTGGTTGCAAAGAAGCCACAGAAGTCAGACTTTGATCAATCCTACCATACAACATAACCATATGCCAACTAAATTCCAGTCTTAAGAGATTAAAGATTAAAGGTCAAAAAAAAAAAGGAAAAAAATAGGCAACATAGGAACTTTGGTGGGAGTTCCTTATATACATCAAGGTTCAGATATTTCATATGATGTCATCAATATCTATGATAAAAATTTTTGGCTCAATTCTTTCCATGACTCTTGAGATAAAAAAAAAGAACTTAATGCTGAACGCTTAGCCCCACTTCAATCTTCTTTTTTCTCTATAGATACAAATGCTTAACTCAGGCTTTAATTAAGGGAGTTAAATATTTGTTTTCAGTCAATAAAGTTAACAGTTAAAATTTAGTTACACCTATCCCACATATAAAAATGGTTGAAGCAACTTTTAACCTCTTAGATAATTTAAATATTTTTTTATAAACTACTGTATTTTTTATTTTTTTATAAACTACTATACTTTCCCACATAAAATACTTTGCAATCACCTCAATTCCAAAGATGTTTATTTCTTTAGAGCAACTTACATATACTATAAGGTAACAGATAAAAAGTAGATAGATACTAATGTTTGTCTTTATTCACCCTAAAAAAATCAGAAAAGATACATTTTTTAAATCTCAATTACTTTGTGACTCTTATTCAATCACCACATTTTCATTCAGAACATTTTTACTTATTGTTACTTTTTCTAATTTGTAGCTTTCTGTCTTCATATAGAATATAAATCTTAGCATTACTCTATGTAATAGAGTATACTCCAAACATTCGTCAGCTAACTGAAAAGGAATAAATTTACTTGAATCATCTGATAAATAGAATAACCCGTAAAAATGACAGGAGAATGGCTAAACAACTTGTTAGGATAAAAGAAAGAAGAACAGTTTTAATGCCAGTCTTTAGACTAACAATGACGTCATTAGAGTCGCCATCCAAATAACTCCACTGCTCTTCATTACAAACAGTAAAGTCGTTTATTGACACTGAATCAGTACAATAGATGAAATTATATTTCAATCCCACACAGGGATCAATGATGAAAGAAAGCTGACTGTTATTCCGAAACATGGCTGATATTTTTTGGCCTAATGAACCAGGTAAGTAAGCAGGTTATTTGAGCTGTTAGAACACAAAATATGCAACTTGGAGTAAATTCGACTAAATAACAAAATAGGGTATCAATGGACATCATTTACACTAAAATCTCACAGACCTTTCTGTAACCATTAGCGTTTAGTTGAGCTTAATCACCAGACATTCTGATGAAACCATCTAAAAGACATTACATCAAAGTCTAAATTACAAGTGAGTACCATCTGCTCACTTACACCATCTCACCCAGTGCCTTCCTTATTAACACATCATTATAAAAAATAAAATATAGAGTATAAGGTCACTTTATAAAATGAATCCTTGATAGCAATTTACATAACACAATTTTTGAGGTACGCATATTTTCATTTAGTATAAATGTCTAAACACAATGTCTAAACTCAGGGTTATCCAACAAAGCTTTAAACACAATCTACTTATAATTGTTATTTAATAACACTATTCATTTTACTCCCTTATTCCCATGCTTTATTTTACTTAACTCCTATTTCCACATTATTCATTAAAATAACCCCCATTAGATAAATATTAATGCAAATATAAAAAAAGTAATTCAAATTTTTAAAGCAGAGTCATGTCCTATTAATGTTAAAACTCATATAAAATTAAAGTATATCTGTTATTAAAGCAACTTATATCGCCAGAAAGTATATACCAACACAATATGTATGAAAGCAAAGGTTTCAATCTGATGAGTCAATAACTGAAAAATTTCCTCCATTTTAAGTTTTGAGTATTATTTTAGTGCAGAACCATAAAACAAATATTTTGAAATATGACTGTTTACCGAAGAAAATTTTTGATACAATAAAAATTTTTTACTTCGTTTTCAAACTCCCTTTTCTTTACCTTTTACCTCCACATAGTAATCTTAAAAAACAAGTACTTTCGGTGATTAATACAAATTCAAAAAAAGAAATAATGTATGTTACATTTAGTTGAAAATATGTAAGCACATCATTTAGTTGCTTAAGCTATTGCTCAGTAAGAGAATGTTTGGTCCTACTACAGTTTTTAATCCTTTTAATGCTATACTTACTAATGCTTTCTGAAATTTTTTTCAAATTGTTGACATCTTGAAAACATGGGATATTTTGATACTACCCACTTAAAAGGTTAATTTTGCTGCTCTTAATCCATTTTCATCTACCATAAATATTAATTTGTAATTTCTTTTAATTGTCTACCTAGAATAAGGTCTCTCAAACTTAACACTTGACATTTTGAGGCAGACACTTGTTTTTTGTGGGACCCTTAATGCATTACGCAATGCTAACAGCATCCCTGGCCTCTTCTAGATGCCAGGAGCAGCCCCATAGTTGTGACGACCAGAAAGGTCGACACACGTTGCCAAATGTCCCTTGAGGCACAAAACTGCCTCTGGTTGAGAACCACTGATGGACAGAGATAAAGGGAAACTGCCACTGCCAACCTCAGGTTAAACTTACACACAAAGCATGTAAACAAAACATCAGGCCACACCACTACCGTGCATGTGCATGTCTGACCAGAACCCCATGGAAACCATTCTGATGCTTATCTATATAATGTGTCTATCAGCCCAGAAGACTACATTCACAGTTACAGTCATTTTTAAAGGACATGGGAGGAAGTAAAAGTTACTGGAATCTAGACTGAGGAAGCTGAGCAAGAAACTGGAGAGAACTTACAACACAGGGAGGGACTCCCTCCGTATCTTCTAAGTGTCTCGATGTGTAAAGTGCTCTCTGTACAAGGGCACGAGATGGTAAGCTAATGATCGGACCACAGCACCGATGGCCCACGGATACTCACCACGCTGCAGTTGCTGGTTGCGGAGATGCATTTCTTGTCATCACACCACTGGCACCCATTGCTATTGGCAGCACAGCTGGCACAGTCCGCGTATCTGTAACATCCGTCATCAGGAGCAGCTGCGGTACCGGGGGGCGGGGGGGGGGGGCATGAACGTGTCGGGGTGAGAAAGGCAACGTCACGCTTCTTAGTTCACACATTTTTAACATCTGTTTAAGAATCACTGAGACTTTTTACACCATAAATACGACAAACAATATCAAAACAACATCTTCAATATGAAGTTAACTTCATATTGAATTGGCATTGTGTTTGCAGGTTTTGAGACACCTTCTACTCTCATTTTACTTATTCAATCTACCAGCAACCTACTGCCATTTAAAATTTATCCAGTATGGTGGGGGGGGGGGAAGACTTATAGTTTTTTACTAAAAAAAAAGCATTACTGCACATCTAAAAGAAACATTAAAACAAATACTCATTGGTTATCATTCTTCATAAAGATATTTAGAGACATCTGAAGTTATCATAGACTAGCAAAACTTGAAAATACATCGTTAATTGTAGCGTACAAAAATGCATAAAACCCCCACCCATTTAAAGAAAATTGAAGAATTTTTATCCAAATCATTCACTCATAAATAAATATTTACTAGCAATTTTTCATGTTTGGTTTACTTACTCAATACTTCATAATAAGTATTAAACTAAAACATTAGTCATCAAAATTCTAGAAAATCTTTTAACTCTGAGGTTCGCTTGGCAATATTAAAGAAAGAAAAATCTACCAAATGCAGAATAAATTATTTCATTGTATTTCTTAGAAACACAGTATTTCTTAGAGTATACTTTAAAGCATTTTTTCTTATATAGGAAAATAGTTCATATATATCTATATATGTATATGACTATATTACACACAAAATATTAATATGCATAATATTACATATAGAATTAAAAAGAGAAAACAAAAAATAGCTAATAAAAATGGTAAATTATTAATCACTGCTAAGTTCAAACATTAGAATTCCTAATTAGAGGATTATGAATTTTTAATTTCTAAAGGCTATACTAAGGTAAATCTTAAAAGCAAAATGTATTACTACTTCTAGCCAGGTACAGAAGCTTTATGCCAGAGAGGGAGAAAAAAAGAAAAACTACCTGTTTTAGGAGGGCACTTTGCTCTAAGGATATTATTAGTATGCCCAGATTCCCAAGATTCACAGTGATTTTTATTCCAAATACATTTTATTCCTGGACCAGCATTCTTACAAAGTTCTTCATCTCTGAAAGCCTTGCAATTTGGAGGCTTGTAAACAAGGATATCATTAAGGAGCACACTAGAAAATCCTCCAAATATATACATGGACCTATTAAAAAAAAAAAAAACAAGAATCTTAAAGAAACAATATTAAGAAAAGCCTAACATATTAGCTTTAAAAATAAGTTTAAATACATTTTATCAAGTTAGTAAACAATTTTTTAGAAATAGAAAGTACCTGTACATGGATAAGAAGATACACTTTAGAACAGCTATCTAGAATTACAATTTCTGAATATTGACAATGAATATAGATATTAGATAGTCTGTGTTTCAGTATTTTACTATCCTCTTATGAAATAAATCAAGAGTAAAATATCAAAAATATCTTCAAAACTTCAATTTGGAAAGAAAAGTCCAGAAATTTGTTAAATTAATTCAATTACCAGTGCCAAAGAAGTCTGACATGCCCTAAAAGAGCATAGTTTTTATTTCTAACAATATTATTAATAAGTGGAAAAGATCAGAAAATGTTTCAATATTATCTTTTATTATTTAAAAAGAGAAAGTCAACCAACACAGTATTGCAACAAAGAAGCCTAGAGGTTTTATGTATAAACTCTGAATTTCATTTATACTGTTTTGAAAGCTAACTGATATCAATTACAGTTTCATTGTGGTTAACTTCTACCTGCTTTGTGTATCACTTTGAAGAATTTTTACATAATTAGAATAAAGTGGTGATAAAATAAACTTATAAAAATGTCATTATGAATTATAAATTTAAAGCTAATGAATGAGCTATTGTTTCCTGCCACATTACCAAAATTTGCTATAGAAATAGAAAAATGAGGGCGCTTGGGTGGTTCAGTCAGTTAAGCATCTGCCTTTGGCTCAGGTCATGAACCCAGGGTGCTGGGTTCGAGTCCCACTTCAGGCTCCCTGCTCAGCGGGGAGTCTGCTTCTCCCTCTACCTCTCCCCCCTTCTCATGATCTCTCTCTCTCTCACTTTCTCTCTCTTTAATAAATAAATAAAATCTTTAAAAAAAATAGAAAAATGATACTAACTTAAAGGAACAAGGTAACTTAATGATCATTCCATCCAAAATCCCAAGGGATATAAAGATATTAAAGTCGAGAGGTTAAGGGATTGTCAAAAATCACATGGTTAATGACAGAACTAAAATGAGAATCTAATTCTTCTCACTTTCCTTGTTCTCCTTGATAGAAATATGGGCTAGCCTATCTATCATTTCAGTTTGATCTTTTTTAAAGAAGTCATTCATTGTCTGATCTCTACAAAAAGAAAAGAAAGCAGATCTCTACAAAAAGAAAAGAAAAGAATGATTTTTTTTTAAGTATTTTAGTTTTATCTCAGCACTCTGACTGCTCCTCTTTCTCTTAAATATATTTGAACACAAAAGAATGAAGGATATGGTTAACGAACCAAAATGTATTCCACGGTAGACTAGGTATACCCAATGCCATTAAGTACAAATGATAATTTTCAAAAAGAGTAACAGAATATGTGGATAGGATGACTGACAAATGTACGTTTTTTACCCATTAATAACAACCGCAGAGTGTCCAAATCTGTTGACATCTCTATGAAGATTTGGTTTCGGTAATATTTTCCATTCATCACAAGCTAGAAAAAAGAGAACAGCAACAAAAAATGAAATAAAACAAATTAAGACAAATACTATAAAACCATCTTTGGTCAAATTAAAGATACATTAAAATTAGGAAGTCTTTCATTAACTTGCCATGACCTACAATTTAGTATCATTACTCAACTGGCATCATTCTTTTTTTTTTTTTAAGATTTTATGTATTTATTTGACAGAGAGAGACACAGCAAGAGAGGGAACACAAGCAGGGGGAGTGGGAGAGGGAGAAGCAGGCTCCCCATGGAGCAGAGAGCCCAATGAGGGGCTCGATCCCAGGACCCTGGGATCATGACCTGAGCCGAAGGCAGACGCTTAACAACTGAACCACCCAGGCGCCCCTCAACTGGCATCATTCCTAAAATAAAAATAACTTCTGCATAAAATTCCCACAAATAAATGTAAGTATATGAGAATAATGAAAATGAAAAAAATATATAGGTGTATAGTTTATGTTGGAGGATAATTCCAACATATCTTTATTAAATAAATCAAGGCTCATATCTTTATTATTTTTATTAAATAAGTATCTTTATTAAATAAATCAAGGCTCATATAGTAAATTGCATGAACGCCAATACTGGGCAAACCTGTTAGAAAATTAAATTACTAAACCAAATTTTACATGCATGCTTATGAAATTAAATGGAATATTTAATATTCAGTGAAATAATGCCTAAAAATAGAATCACTGAAATAAAATATTTAAATCATTTTAATGATCTGACACTTCAAAATAATAGAGTTCATTTTATGTAAAAGAGAATGGACTTCAATTGCAAAAATCTAGAAAAAATAAAAAACCTAAATAATTCATGAGCTATGTAAAAAATATGGAAAGAAAAATGGTAATAGAAAACTGGGTATTAAAGAGGGTACGTATTGAATGGAGCACTGGGTGTTACACGCAAACAACGAATCATGGAACACTACATCAAAAACTAATGATGTAATGTATGGTGATTAACATAAGAAAAGAAAAGAAAACCGTGTATCATTTCAATATAACCTAGCCTCGAAATTGACACGTATACTAACATAGATTTTGAGATGACAAGTGATTCAATTTTCAGTAACTAGGGACATTCTCAGGACAGTGTTTTAAATTTCATCTTCTTAAACATGCCGTATCTAAAGAAGGCAGTGGTATTTAATAAAAACACAGGGAAGTAACAAGATTTTAAAAACAAATTTTATTTTTAGGTAGTTTAGAAGCCCTTTGGGAACAAGAAAATAATCTAAAATACAGTTAGTTGTACAAGTTAAAGTTGTAATAAATTACTGTTTTCCCATTTATGTAATTATAATGATAGTAATAAAATAACAATTTGGTTTTAATTCAATATCATTACTAATGAAGATCAAAGAAATTACAAAAACCAAAATCATAGTTTAGAAAATGAAATTAGAAAACAGCAATAAAATACATCTTGAATTGTATCTCCTAAAGTCTATTCCAAAGAACACAAATCCCCCCAAAAGAGGTTATTCCTATCTCTCTCCTTAGTTCACAAAATATATCTGCCTACTAAATACTCTCAAAAGAGAGAGTACAGATGTATAGAAGCCTAACTATATCTAACCCAGTGCTCCCAATATTTTATCCGCAGAAGCACTTTTCATGTCATACTTTTCACATTAACATTTCTAAGAGCCAATGCTCTGAATATCACATTTTGGGAAATACTATGAAAGAGGGCTATACATAAGATTAACAGTCTGGTCAATTTTACATGTTACAGTTTTACATGTTTACATGTGTATAGTACTATAAAGCTTCCAAAGTGCATTCATCTACATAATCTAAAATGGTCTTTGTAAGAATCCAATGAAGTTGATTGAGCAGGTATTACCATATGTTGAAAATGAAAAATTAGAGGCACCTGGTGGCTCAGTCGTTAAGTGTCTGCCTTTGGCATAGGTCATGATCCCAGGGTTCTGGGTTCGAGCCCCACATCGGGCTCCCTGCTCAGCGGGGAGCCTGCTTCTCTCTCTCCCTCTGCTGCACCCCCTGCTTGTGCTCTCTCTGTCTCTGTCTCCCTCCCTCTCTCTCTGTCAAATAAATAAGTAAAATCTTAAAAAAAAAAAAAAAGAAAGAAAATGAAAAATTAGATCTAGGAGAAGTTAAGCAATTTGCTTAGGGCTCATTTGATTACCTTTGTTTTTCTATAAATTATGTTTATAAATATTTGATACTTAAAAGTATATGTGTAGCAGACTCTGAGAGATTACTCCCATGTGGAGAGAAAGGGTGACCTGTAAAAGACACAGGCTTTGAAAAAGAAAGAGATGGAAATGTTAGAGACAGTAAATAAGTTAGGGCAGATAGATTTCAATCATTCCACCCAACCCCAACACACACAAACACACACACACACAGGGCCAGTGATTTACAAACTGTGTTGTTTGTAGTATTCCAACAACAGAATTAGAAACCTGAATATGCTTCAAAGAAATGAAACAGAAAAAAGTCAGATGAAAGAGTAAGACTGCCAGATAACAATTTGTTACAAAAATCTCCAAAGAAGAATCTTTAAGATCATTTGGGGGCAATCTGGAGTCCAGAAAAGAAAGTGACCCAACAATCTGAGCTAACCTAGGACTAAAAGGTAAGTAATTTGGCCCAGCATCCAACACAAACCAGGCAGAAGGAAAGCAGATTTTCCAAATGAGAACCATAGAAATGCTCAGAAAAACTAAGGAGTTGGAAAAAAAGAGAGCTAAGAATAAAGACAAGCATTAACTAAAAATTTGGCTTCCTGAAGATTTTTCTAACTCCATAAGCCAATTTCTTTTGGTAAATGATGAAATTTTTTCAGCGCACAGAACAGCCTCAAAAATGGCATTACAAACACCTATGTACCACTAACCAGATCTGTCAAACCTAGTACTTGACCATGTTTACTACAGATTTTTTAAAGAAATAACTTATTACAGATGTAACTTAGGCTCCCTGTGTACTCCCATTCCAATTCAAGCTTCTTTAGTTCTTCCTTCTTTGGATGCAACTACTATTCTGTATTTGCTTATCAATGTTTCTATATATATGATACATATATAGTAATTTTTGTAGGCGGGAAAGCTTTGTATTAATACAAATGTTTATTATATTATACAATATGGATCCCTCTGAAACTTGTTTAATTTCAACCCATTAGTTTTTGCTTTTTGTTCTCTTCATTTTAACCATTTTTATGTGTGCAGTTCAATGACATTAAGTACATTCACGTTTTGGAAACATCACAACCATCCATCTCAGCACTTTCTTATTTTGCAAAACTGAAATTCTGTACCTGTTAAACAATAATTCCCCATTCCCCTCTCTCCCAGCCCCTGCCAATCACCATTTTACTTTTCTGTCTATAAATTTGACTATTTTAAGTACCTCGGATGAATGAAATCACATTATTAGTCCTTTAGTCTTTGACTTATTTCCCTTACCAAGTCTTTAAGGCTCATCCATGTTGTACCATGTGTCAGAATTCCACCCTTTTTAAGCCTGAACAATATTCCATTGTACATATATACCCCATTTTGTTTACTAATTCATCCATCAATGGACACCTGGGTTGCTTCTAATTTTGGCTAATGTGAATAATGCTGCTATGAACATGGGGACACAAATATCTATTCTTGTACCTGCTTTCAATTCTTTTGGGTATATACCCGAAGTGGAATTCCTGGATTATATGGTTAAGTATTGTTTAAATTTTTGAGGAACATCCATACTCTTTTCCATTACAGCTGTACCATTTTACTTGATTCCATCAAGGAGTGCACAAGGGTTCCAGTTTCTCTACATCCTTACTTACACTTGTTATTTTCTATTTCCTGATAATATCCATCCTAATGGATGTGAAGTAGTATCTCAATGTGGTTTTGATCTGCATTTTCCAAATGATTTGTCATGTTGAGCATCTTTTTGTGTCCTTATTGGCCATTTATGTATCTTCTTTGGAGAAATGTCTATTAAACAACCCATTTAGACTTATTCACATATGTGGTGCTATGTTTTCATTTTAATCATGTTACAGCATTCCATATTATGATTTTACCAAAACACATCTATCCTTTTAAAGGTCATTTAGACTTTTTTAAGGTTTTTCCTAACACAAGTCATGTTGGTTTGTTCACTGTTACACACATCTTTTGCAAGTTTTGAGAGTTTCTCCAGGTGGATTTCTAAAAGGAAAATTACTAGGTTTAATGAAAGACACAGTTCAATTTTACTAGATTTCACCAATTTGCTCCCCGAAGTAGTTGCACTGACTTAAATTCACACTAGCCATGCATGACGGCTCTTATTTCGCATCCTCTCCATTATGTAGCTCTCTCAGACTTTTAAATTTTTACCAATCTGATGAATGTTGTTTTGTTTTGTTTTTTTCTAGTTACTGGTAACCTTGCCCATTTTTTGATTTTTGTTTTTTGTCTTTTTTAACAAAGATTTTATTTTTTTTATTTTATTTTTTTTAAAGATTTTATTTATTTTTTGACAGAGAGAGAGACAGCAAGAGAGGGAACACAAGCAGGGGGAGTGGGAGAGGGAGAAGCAAGCTTCCCGCTGAGCAAGGAGCCCAATGTGGGGCTCGATCCCAGGACCCTGGGATCATGACTTGAGCTGAAGGCAGACGCTTAAGGACTGAGCCACCCAGGCGCCCCAAAGATTTTATTTTTAAGTAATCACTACACCCAATGTGGGGCTCGAACTTACAATCCCAAGTGCTCTTCTGACTGAACCAGCCAGGTGCCCCCAGAATTTGAGTTTTTTGATAATTTTAAGAAATTTTTATTAAATGTCCTAAATATCAATCCTTTGCTAATTATATGCATTAACACATATTCTCCTATGCTGTGATTTGCCTTTTCATGTAGTTTATGGAGTATTATTTTACAAAAGTTTGTACAGAAACCTGATCAAACTTATCATTTTCTTCATGACTTATTCTTTTTATTCTTAACTCAAGATTTTAAAGATAAT